ACTGAAACTAAACATTCTATGAACCTCTGTTGTATATCAAATTTATATAGATCACTGAAACTAAACATTCTAGGAACCTCTGTTGTATATCAAATTTATATAGATCACTGAAACTAAACATTCTATGAACCTCTGTTGTATATCAAGTTTATATAGATCACTGAAACTAAACATTCTATGAACCTCTGTTGTATATCAAGTTTATATAGATCACTGAAGCTAAACATTCTAGGAACCTCTGTTGTACATCAAGTTTATATAGATCACTGAAGCTAAACATTCTAGGAACCTCTGTTGTATATCAAGTTTATATAGATCACTGAAACTAAACATTCTAGGAACCTCTGTTGTATATCAAGTTTATATAGATCACTGAAACTAAACATTCTAGGAACCTCTGTTGTATATCAAGCTTATCCTGCTTTAAGATGAACCTAAAATAATCATTACTACTATCAGAAACATACATTTCTTCTAAGTTAAACAAAATATTTTTACTTAACCAAATAAAAAACACTTGTAAGAAAAGACAAGACAAGTGGGTGAAAAACTATCTACCAAAAAAAGAACGTCTTCAATGAGCTATAGCTCTTAATATTTGTATCTATCTCCTACTGTTGCATGTTTAATAATTGCACATTCAAAATTAAACTAGTGTTTACAACCACAAATGTGTGATGATGAAACCACATAAATAAAATGATAATTGCACCGAAGAAGAAAAATTCTTTATATACAGTATATACATATATTTAAATAGCGCAAGTATTTGATTTACAACATATGAACTGTATTTACAGAGCTTTGTGAAGAAATCAGTATATCATCTATATTGTAATTATTTAAAAATCTTTTATAAACAAAAAAAGTTAAAAGTAAATAATATAAAACCAATATCTGATTATTTTAAAATGAACTGTTTTTTGTAGGTAAAATAATTCTAGTTTTAACAATTCTTAACTCAAAAATATTTTACAATTAACATCTTGTAATATTTATTAGTGTAATTCACACACACACAAACAATGCATTTATTATATTTTTGGAAATTTTATAACCACACCAAAAGATATATATATATCTAGATTTAGTCAATGTAGAGTAAATAAGGTGGCTTGAACAGTAACTTATAGTTTTCTGAGATAACGACAAACAAGAGCTCCACCAGCCATAAACGAAGGAATCTAATGAGGAACTTTAGAACATTAAGAAAAAATCCACAAACATAGAAATTTTTTTTAAATTTCTTTAAGACACTTTTTGTTCCTGAAAATGTTTTTACGTTAAATTATATCTGTTTGAAAGCTACAGAATTTATTTCTATGACAAGATGTATGTATGTGTGTAAAGGAAGGACCACATAAGACACACATATACCAGTCAATGCTACTGCAAAGAGGAAAATTTGAGAAGGCAGAGTAAAATGTTACAGCCCACAACAAATTGTTATCTGAACAAGACCTGAAAGATCAAACAACATCAACCATTAAACAAAGGGGAGAGAAGGAAGATATCAACAAAAATAATTACCCTAACAAAATATGGTAGAATTAATTTTTCATACACGAAACAAATCAAGATTGATACATACAGTCACTTTGATCCACTTCCATTTTAACCACATCAGCTGTACCACTGAGCGGTGTGCTACTTGGCTTTTGGTGTGCTTCTTCTTCGGAATCGCTACTGTTATCATCACTGGACTGCCTCCTGCATGGCAGAATACTAAACTTTATGACAAATCATGTGATGTCACTGATATAAACAATTCTGTATAGGCTTAAGCATACATAAATGAAACAGAAGAAAAAAATCCCCAAAAGAGAACTGCACAGTTGAAATACAGCTGAAGATACATTACAGTTTTAATCAATCAACAAATACTGAAGTGAATCTCCAGTTTCATAAGTGATGATTTATTGTTATTCGTCATTAACAAGAAATGAAATCAGAACCCCATGTTTAAAGAAACAAGGATGTAAATTTGTAAGATGTCATATTAATTATTCACTTTCAATAATGTACAAAGATTTGTACAAAACATGAAACATAAAGGTAGAAAAATAGATGTCTTGTAGCATTACAGTTGTATATTATCCATTTCCAGTAGTAGCTAAGAAAGAAAAATATATAGTGTCCATAAAGTCTGGAATCAATGTAAATTTATTTTATTTGAAACACTGTTTTATTAATTTTATGTTTTGTTTTTTTGTTACAGGTTTGTGTTGCCCATACGTAATAATCGTGCCATTAAGCTTACAAGAGCGTGTTGAAATTATCCTGTTGTGTGGACGTCAAGGATGAACACAGAGAAAAATAGCTGTGGAGTTCAATAACAAACATCTGGAAAGAAATCCAATATCTCAATCATGCTATATCATTTACAAACATGTTTTCAACTTGGCAGTGGCCATTTTGAACATATATTGTAACTATGCCCTCAAATAAAATATGTCTACATTGATTCCAGAATTTATGTACATCCTGTACAATGCTCTAATAATAAATACAAATCTTCATCTTTTTAGAACTGACACTGTCATGAAAGTTGAAGAAAAATAAGCTATGTCTGCTTAAAACATTTATTTGTCTGAAATACAATTCATTAATTTGAAGCAATTTAATATTATCACATTTTTACTGCTATTACACAAATGTATAGTAATACTTAGAAATATTCCTAAGCACAAATAAACTCAAAAATATGTCCAGAAACTCTCATTATTTGGTTATGCTTTTCTATTTTTCTTGGTTATTCACAATGTTGACTGGTGTTATAATTCAAATTTGGGGAAAAATTAAATAAGATATTTATCCTTCAGTGTTGTGAATTCTTTAACAACAGTACAAAATATACTTGCACACTACAGAATATTTTTAGTTGCTTGCTCTTTCTGCAATTCATGCTATGCATTTTAAGGTAGTTCTCTAACAAATATGAAAATTATCTTACAGAAGAAAACTAACCACAATACCTTGCTTGGGATATAGTTCCAGATGCAAAAGTCACTTCATGTTCTTTATCTTCCCAAATGTCTTCATCACTGTCTGTATCACCTAACGATTGTGCTCGTTCTCTGCAAGCCTGCTCAAAAAGCTCTGCACTCCTCTGGTGGTAAAACATGAATATAATGATTGTACTGGGTGGTAAAACATGAATATAACGTTTATACTGGGTGGTAAAACATGAATATAACGATTGTACTGGGTGGTAAAACATGAATATAATGTTTATACTGGGTGGTAAAACATGAATATAATGATCATACTGGATGGTAAAACATGAGTATAATGATTATACCGGGTGGTAAAACATGAATATAACGATTATACCAGGTAGTAAAACATGAATATAACAATTATACCAGATGGTAAAACATGAACATAACGATTACATTGGGTGGTAAAACATGAATATTACGATCATATCGAAAAGAAAAACAATCAATTAATAATTGTAATCCATACATTGAAAACTGCTGTACATTTAATTACCAATAACCCATGTACATTCCCACATCAAGTCTTAACAATAGAATGGAATTAAATACAAAATATTTAGTGCTATTCTCTGAGGGTCGCGGGTTTGCGTTCTTGTCGCACCAAACATGTCCACTTGGGCGTGGGGCTAGCAACTCCACCCCGATAACAATCTGCTACAGAAACTGCAACAACAGTTCTGTCGGTGAAGTGTTGTTGTAGCCCTATGTTCCACTAGGAACGACAGGAACTAAGAAGAATTGCGAGTCGAGTGACTTATCCACCGAGCCATGCCGGGCCCCTTAGTGCTATTAATGTAAGTAAATATATATGTATATACCAAGACAGACATACCATATTTTCCTCTGCAGCAAGTTGGAAGTTGACCTGTACCAAGCGATCTAGCTGACCACTGAAAAGATAAGTTTGGTAAAATATGAAATGCAACTTACAGAAGTAATATTATGCAGTAAAAATATTCTACTGCTACTTATAACTATATTCTGTGCTAATATTAGTTTTATTTCACCTTCGAACATATAGACTATAAATTATCACTTCTCAGGTGTATGTTACTAATGATGATAAATATTTTGGCCACCTTTGATTTCCTAAAGAAATGACTAAGCACAAGATTATTTTCCAATAACTTCAGCATGATAAGTTTAAATAAAAAAAGAGAGAGAAACATTTTATTCTATTTATGTAAATATATATGTACATTGAAAATATGTTAATATCATCAACTAATTAAATAAGTAATCCATAATATGCTTCTGCATAAATGTTTTTTTACGTATCTCATTCGACTATTAAACAACTTAATAAGAGGAATGTATTAATTCTTAAGAAAAGCAGCTTCAAACTTACGCAATGTTTTCTTCCTGTGCAATGCGATTTAGTTGATCTCTAAAAGAGTTATCATAAAAATCTGCTCAATCAAAATATTTTAGTTACAGACGACATAGAAAAATTACACTTGATAAATTTCAACTATCCAAACTAATGTAAATACCATATACAGGTTGTCCGCAAATTCCTGTTCCGGTTTTAAGAGTTTATTACACCAAAACCAAAAGAGCTGGAATTACTCACCTTGTTGCTTAACTAATGAAGTTCTTTCTTGATTAACAGATTGTAATCAGAGTGTTCAGATGCTAATGACTGAAGTTTGAACGAAGATGGCAACTATGCAGGAGAAAGCTTATCTGGTTTGCAGAGGCAAGATCAGTGACAACTGTTCAACAGAATACTGCTGTCTATATGGCAAGGATCCTCCCTCCAAAAACCAGCATTAGGAGATGGTTTCACAAGTTTTGGGAAATAAGAAGTGTAATTGACCTGCCTCGAAGTTTCTGGAAAAAATGTTGCTAATGTCCAGGAGATATTACAATGCAGCCATAGAAAGTCTATTTGTCGTGCTTCAAGATCAACAGTACACAAAGTTTGACACAAGAGATTGCATCTTTACGCATATAAAGTGCACACATTGAGCTTTCTTCTGCGTATCTTCGTTCAAACTTCAATCATTAGCAACTGGACACCGATTACAATCTGTAAATCAATATACAAAAGTTCATTATTTAAGCAACAAGGTGCTAAGAACTGCATAATTCTAGCTCTTTCGGTTTTGTTCTAATAACTTTTTAAGACTGGAACAGGACTTTGCGAACACCCTGTATATAAAAACATAACTCACCTTAAAGTTCTGTTTAGCTAAATAAGGAAGACATAAATACACAAGTGATATTTCTGAATAAACAACTTAACCCTCTTAGGAGAACTACACAGATTTCTGTACATAAATTGTTACACACATATATTGTACACCCAGATTCAACTGGTAAATTGTCCTCTAATCACCATATCAAATAAAACATTTTTTCATTCAAAGAACAGCATACCAACCCTCTTACTTCATGGATCGTTTACTCGTGTATGGTGTAGAGCCACAATGCTACCCCTACATTAACAAAACTACAGAACTTGAAACTTCTTATTATCCACACACACACAATTAAAACTACTGGGCTATATAGTTATGGAACTTCTGACTAAAATCACCCATCGCTCAGACTGAGCTTCATAAATTCACAGACAAATCTTTAGTAGAAATATTTTATTCAAACTTTTTTTCTGTGTACAACATACTTGTAATGTTTACTAAAAGCCTGTCAAATTATGTAAATACACTTTGTTCGTTCAGAGTTATTGTATGTATAACTTCGTGGTTACAAGAATGGTCAACTTGACCGAATCCATTCCCATAGGGTTAAATAAAACTACTGTTAGGATAACTGGTGTAAAAGAACCTCACCAAAAGCAGGAAAGATATATCTAACATTAAAGCACCCAAACAAGTGCTGAATTAGAGTAAAATCTAACTAGCATATTATAAGTAAACTACTCATAAACTTAGAAGTATGACAAGTTTTTGTGACAAATCAACATTTGAGGTTAGAGATAAAATGAACCACAGCTACAAAACACCTCAAATACTCAGTTCGTAGCTACACTGGTGATGACTGAAAGTAAGCAATGTCCAAAACAGTCTGTAAATTGTGTCTTGCAGCAATTATACTGATATATACATACACACCATACTGATTTAAAATATATACTTCCAACATTTACCAGTGCCAAACATTTTAAACAACTTCCTCGAGCTAAATTATTTTGTATAGATGAAACAATGCATCTATCATGCACAAACGAAATATTTCTGAGCATAAAATGTTAAATGCTGTAAATCAGATACAACACACATAAAGTAACAAAAACAAAGTATAATAATCAATTAAGCTGAATTAACAATTATGTGAGGTTCTATTCTAAAATCAAGTTAATTTCTTGATTATCATTTGACTACATGTACATTATGTAATACGTACATATTAAAACTTAAAATTCAAAAACGAACAAAAAAAAAGCTAACCACAAAACCTAACAAATTTGTAATCTTTTTTCTCATTATTAGAATCTATTATCACAGAAACTTCTCGGCTCATTATACACAAGTGATATTAAAATTTTCTAATTTATGCTTAGTGGATTACATAGTTTAAGTATCTTAACTCAAAATATTAATAATAATGAAAAAAAAAGTTTGATACTTACGCAAGATTCTCGTCCGTGTCAACAAATTCGTCATCATTGAAGCCAAACTGGTCAATAAAAGTACTTGTTATTTGATGCATCTGATAATCAGAAAAGGCCTGAAAACCATGCCAAAAATGCTGATAATAGAACACAATGCATGCTAAAAGAAACTACCACTTACCACCAAATGAAAAGGTAAAAAACAAACAAGAGTTAACAGATAACTACTCTCTGTAGAACGAAACAAGAAAAATAAAATACCCATTCTTATATTAATTTATTAAACACCTAAGCTTTAATCAATCACATATGTAATCCCTGTGTACTTCAGTACTAATTAAAAGAGCTCAGCTGCCAAATTTCATACCAGAGAAACAATATCTCCGGCAACAAATATTTCCAATAACTTTCTTATTAAATTTTGTTCACATAAAAATTATAATTTTATTTTGAACATTTATATTTCACAGTCAACTATTCCATTTTTACTTTAATATCACAAATCTTTGCTTAAATCATGTTATTTAACTTTCTATTTGATACGGCCGTAACTAAACGTTTTTTTTTTATACAGAGGGTTACATTCTCCAAGAGATAAAGCCTGGTTCATAAACAAATAACATAAAACATTTTTTAGAAATTTTTGTAAATACTATGAAGCAAAATTACACATTAATTTTTAGTTAGGTTTTATTTTTCTAACAAAAAATAAAACTTTCTGAATATACATTTAAAATGAGTTATATACAGAATGTTCAGAAAGGACAAGGGTCTATAAGATGAGAATTTTGACCATTCTTGAAATTTATTTACATATACTGTGTTCATCTTGCATTACAAATGTTGAAAACCAGAAAAGTGACCAAAAAAAATCACATTTAATACTTTCCATAAAAATGTATCCATGTATGTGTGATACTTTTGCTTCGGCTGTTACATACCCATTGTCAGTTGCTCATACATTCTTCACAGAATTACATAAAAGCCATAGATTTATCACTTGTTTAATACTTCTTCCATATTTAACTTCTTTTATAACCTGTTGAATTATTGGGTAGTTTCATCAGTTCAAGCATGATTTGTCGTTTCTAGAATGCATATTTGGGACTTATATATACACACACAAGTGCCACCTACAACTAGATTGGCAGCATTGTTATTTGCTTCTGCCAAAAGGTCTGATGCAGGGAGACGAGCATGGTTAGATATCAACCTTGACAACTGACGTGTAAAAATCCAAGACTGAGGAACAAAGCTGGTCACCATGAAAAGCCATGCATATTGCTTTCTTTAGAGCAAAAGTATTTTCAAATACAATATTACAGACAAAATTATACTAGACAACTAAGTAAAAAGATTAAAAAGAGAACCTACAAACAGATTTCCACAGACCTTATATGGAATCCTAAAAACAAGCCAACCTGTCATTTAGCCAATTTAGTCAGCTTAAAGCATTCACCATCAGTTAACTTGCTGTATTTATCAGTCTATTGAACATGATGTTTTAGTTGCTGCATGTGCTTGTGTTCTTCAAATAATTAATCACATCAATTCTGTTGCAACTGGTATAATCTTTCATCTTTGCATAAATCTCTTGAAAACAGCCGATTACAAGCTGTTTTTGGTCCAGATAACATTTGTAGCAACAGACTTCAGCAGGGATAACAATACCAGATATAACAAATAGTTGGGGTTTGTGTTTCACATGGTAAAATAGTCACATTATGGTTCAAGATTATTGTTGACCTTGTTTTCAATCTTACGGCTCTTACATGCTGAGTTGCTCAACCATATACCAGGGGTGGAAGAAGACAGGTTGGATGCACCAGGGGTGGATAAGGATAGCTTGAGCCCCTTCTATCAATTTCAAAGTGATTTAGAAAAGTCATCTGAAACACAGCATATAGGATAATAATATTATTGGTGGCATTTAGCATGAATGACACCCTTTTAGGCAAAGGTTTTCTTTTCTCTTTCAAGTTACCTCCTTAGTTCACCCATACGTATAAAACGTGCCTTCTATCTTTACGTCTACACTTTACACACCGTGACACATTTATATTCCTTCAGCATAAGTGAATAATGTTTCACCAACATTACTTTAGCGTGAACCTTATCAAACACTCAATAAAATAAGTGACAAAACATTATCGATTTCACAAATAAAAGTGTCTCAATTATATTACCTTTGCTGAGTAAGTTCCAATTTCACTGCAGGTTGTACAGAAAATCTGTGTAGAGTAGTTCAGTAATTACCCTTTTACATGTTATACACTTACATCACAAATTAGAGGATTTACATGGTTTGTAGTATGGCTACAGATGAATCTTGATATTTAGTATAAACAAGTTTTTATAAGAAAATATCCAGTGCCATCTTCAAACGTCTTTTAATAATTATTACATCTCATAAACTACTGAAACTGTTTAATAATGGCAATTACATTAAAATATGGATGCACAGCGGGAAAAAATTGACCTTACACTGAGTAACATTACACACACAAGCGGGCTACATGAAATTTGATAAAGACTGGAAAAAACAAAAAGGATGCAAAGAGTTAATTTCTGTAAATATAACCTATAGAAGTTCCACTAGCCATCACTTGCAGTCAAAATTCTTACATATAGACCTTTGTCCTCAAGTTAATAAAGTTGTTTACTTGTTTTTTAGAGACAGGAATCTTAAAACTCTGCTACAGTAGATACTAGAATTCATTAGACCAATGGAAGTTCAATACAGCTTATATGAAATATTAAGGTAACATGACATAGCCACGATATGAATTTCAACATAGTCAGAATTAAATGTTTATATCTTTGTTTAAAATAGATGTACGCATGATAAACAAGAAGATACAAAAATGTAAGTTATATAACGCAACATAAAAAAGAAAAGCACTTAAATTATTTTGCTATTTTTTCTTACAACAAAGAAAAACTTAAAAATAATTTAAGTTCACTGTAAAAGGGGCTTTTTAAGCACTTACAAAAGTTTTTGTCAGTTCCTCAATATTCAATGTTGAATTAGCAAAAAATAAAAAAAATAATATACACACAATATAATGTAACCTACTGGTTGCATTGTCAAATGTTGACTAAATGGAATATCTCTAAAATCTGGACACTCTTCATCCTCAGAACTTGAAGGAAGTGGCACTCCACCTACCTGAAAACGATATATCAAAAACATATATTTACATAACATTTTTCTAAAATAAAACAAAAACAAAAGTTTATATTTACAATTTTTTCTTTCTATTACGAGTCTCCTTTGTTTGAAACGAACTAACTATTCACTTTTAATACAATAATAAAAATCAAAAAATAGATGCAAGACTGATGGTCATACTAGTGAAAAACTTTTTTAAAACCTTTCTAACACGTAATTTTGATGGATTTATTAATTCCAAGTTTCCAAAGAAATGTGTCAGCATGTAAAATACTAAACTTAATATCTTTCCATATGAATAAGACCAACTTCCAGAGCAAATTCACTTCTTTCTTAGCACATATTCTTACCAGTTGTGTTCTACAGCACACTTTTTAACCTTGTGAACAAGCTAAATACCCTCATATGCAATCAGATGCTTTGACAGGAGGTAAATAGTTAACCCTCTAACTATGATGCCATATTTAAAACTCTTTCTGCGGAGGTTACTAAGTTACATTCAAAATTTAATTACACCACTTTACTATCAATGTATTTTAATGAAATTATCATCATTAAGTACGTTATAATTCAGTTTTAATATTATCTACGTTTTTATTCCTTTATTTCCAAAGAAACTTCTAAAATATTATTTAAAACTTGAGTTTTCATACCTCATTACATACTTGCAGTTATGATTCTAAAGTTTAAGACCTGGTATACAAGAAACTGTATACAAAATACAGTATAAAAGGTTGTTTACCAGTAATTTGAGTACATTCCAAGACCCCCAAGAAAATGGTTGTAAAATTTTCTCTATTTAAGATAAGCCAAACCTACTTGAATAGTAGAAGTTGTATTGCTAAGCAACAGTTTTAAATTGAATGGCATGTTTATTACTAATAGAAATAGCAAATTTCCCAATGATATGTCTCTAAACTAACAGTAATCACAGATGTATATATATCTGTTTACAGATGTATATATATCTTAGTCCATTGTTGAGAGCAAGATCCCTAGCACTTGGCTATTTTTCTCGCCTTACACATATTAGCTAGATAGACAATTAAATTGAATATCAATTTTACTTTTATATTTTATGTATTATTTTAAAACTCATATTTGAAAGGATTAATCATTTTTTAAATTTATTCTACACTTTTCTCGACCAGCTTTCATAAAGTTTGTACGAAAGTAAACAAAGGCTAAGGCCCTCTCTGCCAATGTTAACATTATATTGGCCACGCGCACCCATTGATGTGTGTCGACGTAAATAATCAATGATAAAGAACACGAAAAGAAAGTAGGACATTAAAAATAAACTATAAGTGAAAATGTATGTACATATTTCTATTTCTTAAGTTTAAGCATTTCATTGCACTGTACGTTGATGATAGTAGCTAGTTAGTGATATGTTAGAGAAAATGGAAATTAAAATATACAAATTTACATTAAAAAACTTTTGATAACCATTTAGAAGGTTCTAGAGATTATGCAAGTAAAATGTGAAACTGTAAGATAATAAATAGTATCTGTATACTCAAAATGAAAATCACTTTTCAGGTGAACTATTCAAAGTCTGAATAATGAATTTTTATTAGAAACAGTAGAAAAAAAAACCAAATACAATATTTTATTTCTTTCAAACTACATACTTTTATAAAAGTTCTTGTCAAGTTTTCAACAATTTTATTTTTTGAAAGAAATATAACAAAAGTTACATAACGTGCTGCATTATGTAACAAGTAAAATGCAGCAAGTCGTTGTTATAAGGTTAAAACAATCTACACTTTAAAAACTTTGTATCCAACCTGCAAAACAGATTTACAAGAATATAATGGCTCAATCCCCTCCCCCTTTTGTATGTTTGCTTGTTGAATTTTGTGCAAAGCTACATGGGGTCTATTTGCACTAGCTATTCCTAATTTTGAAGTGAAAGACTTAAGAGGAGGCAGCTAGTCAACACCGACTACCACCAACTCTCCAGCTACTCTTGGAAGATTAAATAATGCGATTTGACCCTCACTCTTATATATAACCCCAAAGAGCACAGCACGTTGCACAGTTTGACACACTAAGCACGGGTCCTTGTATATACATCAAATTGCTATGTTTTAAAAATCATAAAATGGATACTTCTGGCTTGCAATCTATTTTTGAAGAAAATTATATTTGTTTCAAGGAAGTTAACTCTTGGGAATTTATGAGATGAATTTTACTTTCCACTATTTATTTCAACGATTATGTTTTTAAAAAATTATAGGAATTTTTTTTTATATTTATATGTATTAGAAATTACATTAATATTATTGTAGAAAAAAAAATCACATTTTTCCATTGCCACTCAAGTTTTATACTTGATTTGTGCTTACACTCCTAAAACTCTGAACTAAAAATCAAAATTTACAAAATGCCCACATGCAGCTACAAAATAAAAATTCACATTCAAATGATATTGGACTTACCAGTGGAGTTTGTTGTTTTTTGTTTATTTCAGCCAAAGTTTCTGATACAAAAGTTTCCCACTGACTGTTATAGTTTTCTGGTAAATCTGAAAATTACAATAATAATAATCATTGAAAAAAAAAGATATAAAATAAAAATTAATAAATGAAATTAATTCAGCATGAAGAATAATAAGTTACAGATAAATATACAAATAACATGGAAAAATTAGCACATTTTACAAAAAAAAGTCAATATCATATTTAACACTGACAGCATTTTAGGTCAGTTACTATCTAGCATAAGTGAGTCTTCAGTGAGCGTAGCTCTCTTAAACATTTTTTTCTCCATCATACCTAAATATTGGCTGTCAGTTGAATGTCAAAATATACCAAAGGTTTTTGATAACTTTCCAGCATTTTTTGATGAACAAACATATTAAAATAAAGACAAAGTGTATTAAAAAAAAACTTGAAGAATAAGTTATAATGTATTTACCTTTTAATTTAGTTTTAATTAATTCACTATTTGGCCCACTCTCAATATTGTCAGTTATGTCATTTGCAATCTTTGTAACGTGCCCCATATAGCCTTTTCTGTGCTTCCCTGGAAGAGATCTACAAAAACTGAAATATGACAAGCATTTGAAATATGTAGGCTGAATTATTAAATTTATCAACAAATCTTGTAAATAAAATTTAAAAAAAAATCTGAAAATTTTTTGTAATTTATTAATAAATTAATACTACAAAACTAATTTAATGTGTACTTAACAATCACCAAAATGCCTTTATCATTTTAAATGTAATAAATGAAATTGAATTTTTTCTAAATTTTCATATGCAACAAAACAACTGCATGTACTAGTATTTTTTCTTTTTTCTAATTCCCCTCCAGTTTGCCTCATTATAGCATGCCATGAAAGAATCAGTACTTTATAGTTAGTTATTAAGAGTATTGAAACAGGTTGGTCAACTAATATATCAAATATGTACTAGGCTTAATAAAGTGTCACTTTGAGTGATTGAAACAATATACTTTTAGTAAATGAACTTTTCAATGCACTCAAAGTTCAATATAGATAGAACATACATGATAATTGGTATTATGAATACGAATCTGCCTAAAAACATCTGGGCTGGTGTTTTAATTAGCAAACACATTCTGTGATAATGGTTTCCAAGAAAGTCAATAAGAAACAAAGCCATAAAATCATGTACTTATCACCAACTGCCTTGAAAACATGTGAAGATAGATTTTAATTTTACCCTATCACTACAGGTTTTCTTATGGTCAGGGGTCAAAGGGCATGTCATCACATCTGTAGACTTACATTCAAAATTTTATTGAACTACTATTTTATGAATGTATATCAATAGGTTTGGTATCAAATTGTAGATCATAGTCCAAATTTTAGTACTACACATTACTTAATTTCTTAAATTAAAAGTGTCATGTGGTATGCTGAAAGCAGCTTTGGTTCAAATTAGATGTTTGTGATGTCCAAATACAAAGTCTATATTTATAGAATCATATACAGCGGACCTGATCACCTCTTCCAATTTTGGAAATATTTCTTTCTCTGCTACTTATGGTTGGAAAGAAGTACGTATTTGCTTGCCGTACCTTGCATGCTAAGCCTTGTTGAATTTCACACGTGGATAATGTAAAACAAAATAACTTTAGGTTTTATATATGCATTTTGAAATAAAAATTATAAATTACTCTATCAGTATCTAAGAATTCCAATGTAATTTACTTTACAGGCTTAGTAAACTGTGTTTCAGTCTAAAAATATATTGTTTTTCAAAAAACATTTCCACGTACCCCTTCATTCTAAGATTCAAGACAAAAGAATTTAATATTGGGAATTTCCAGCTTTTGATTGGTTATAAACACATGATAGAGTCAAGTGGTGTGTATGTCATTCTTTTCTATATTTCTTTAATTACTTTCTATGTTTTAAGAAAAACAACATAAGAACTTATTTGTAAATAGTAATAATATATATACATACGTAATGTTTTATAACTGAAAAGTGACCGTATTTTACAAATAACTGGTCCACTAGATCAAGGCCAAGACAAACAATTTACAATCGTAAGTAGCAGAGATCATTCTTTTCTATATTTCTTTATTTACTTTTATGTTTTAAGACAAACAACTTAAGAACTTATTTGTAAATAGTAATCTATTATCATATATAATGTATAATAATTGAAATGTGATTGTATTTTACAAAGTACTAGTCTACTAAAACACAGCCAAGACAAGTTACTTTGTAAAGACCAAAGGTCAGTTTTATGTTATTGGATACGGTAACATGGGTGCACGTGTGCCGCATCATTGTAATTTCTGCATTGTTAGCCAAGCACGACTGAAAGGTCAATATAATAAAAATAATAAATATATATAGATGTATAAAATTTTATGAGATTTAAGCTATTTAGAATACACATTTGTGGTTTTGTGTTACAATTTGTAGTCATTCTAGAATGAAAAAAAAGCATAATTTATATCTATTTCCTAATTTTTCATGGTGGTTATGAAATACAGAGATGTAATAGTGAAAATAGTTGACAAAATAGTTTTATTCTGGGGTTATAAAAATTTTGCACATGAAATTTGACAATTTTCTGATGCATAAAAGTATTTTTAATCTGAAAATCAAAATTAATTTCCGAGTTGGACAGTCAATATTTGAAAAGAAAAAATGCACAAGCAAATCATTACTTAGAAAATATTAAAATTTAATTTAAAAGAAAAGGGTATTTTGTGTAAGAAAGCCTTGTAGTGTTTACTAATAATCTTCAAAATTTTGTGAAAATACGCTTACTGTGTTAAAAGTCACAGTTTGAAAACCATAACAAGCACAAAATGGTTACGAGGTCGGTCCCAGGGACTGAGCTTGTGCCGAAACATACTATTTTGTGGCATAAAATTGTTGAAATAGGTAAGAATTACATTTCTGTTTTAAATAAACTTTTTAATGTAGGTATGTAAATTTGCACTTGGAGTGACTTTACATAATACTGGTCAAGAAAGGGTTAAGCAATACAGCACTCCACAATACAAACAATGATTGCTAAATTATATACTTACTGCTCCTCTTCATTGTTTTTCCAAGCATCAAGAATCCTTTGTACTAAATTACACTGTGTGAATAACTGAAAATATAAAATCAATACAAAAATTACAGTTAAGTTTTCAAATACATCATTTTGTTATTTATTAATATATGTATAATATGGACATTCCCAGTGGATGTGTTTACCCAAGTACTGAACCTTACTGTATGTTTTATCAATAGTTCTGAGCTTTCATAACACTACATTAAACACAAAAATTGTACTTTGGACAGTTCACTCAGAAAGTTAACTTGAAATATCCTTTCATTCAAAATTAATGGTTATTATCATCCACACATTAATTGTGCTCGTAAAAGAATGTAAGTACCATTACAAAATACACTTAGAAAATGTGAAAATGCAGAATCATACTTAACATGACAGGATTTATAAAACATTCAGCATTTTATTATTCAGTTTCTAATTCTTAATAACAATCACACTGAAAAATAAAGTTTTCAAATAAAGTACATAAAAGAGAAGTATATATATATATATCTGTATTACATTTAAATACTGTTTTATAGATATCATATTGTTCATTCTTAAAACGTCATTAATGCTCCAACTTACTGCCTAACCTCCCCCCAAAAAAGACAAAAAACATGCAGTGACATAAAAGATTATACATTGTAGCATATTTGAAACATCATATTGTTCATTCTTAAAACGTCATTAATGTTCCAACTTACTGCCTAACATCCCCCCCCCAAAAAACCAAAAAACATGCAGTGACATAAAAGATTATACATTGTAGCATATTTGAAACATCATATTGTTCATTCCTAAAACATCATTAAAGCTCCAACTTACTGTCTAACCCCCCCAAAAAAAAACCATGCAGTGACATAAATGAATTATCATTAAACCAAATAACGGATACCAAGGGAACAATACAAAAACAAGTTTTTCAAAATAAGATGAAGTAAATTAAATGATGAAAAACTTGAGAAATAAATAAATGATATTTAAAGTTGGTTAAGTCTTATACCAAAATGAAGACAAAAGTCTCCAGTGCATAGATACAGAAATTTAAAACAAGAAAAAAGAAAGAAAATATATTTTAAGTATAATTATACCTTTTCTTAATACAAAGTGGTTGGTAATCTGTGGGAGGGAAGAGTACAGCTAACATTCAAGCATTTTAACTTTAAATTACTTTGGACTAAGCTTACCTTAGTATATAAATCATACATTTCACTTTGATCCCTAAATTCTATATATATTTCTCAATTCCTCTTAAAAATTATGAAAATTATTAGTTATTTTCTTCCATTTTTGTGCAGTCATTTTATTAGTATTATGAATGACTGTAAATATATGAACAATATTATTAAGGCTTGAAATTAGACCAGACCATCTGGATGTTTCATAAAAAAACTGATTCTGCTAGAGTATCTAATAATTTGCCTCGGGTGCATGGTTCTTGTTCATAATCTATACACATATACAACAAAAAGCACTGGAAAATATGTGTAAGGCCGTGTGAAATCATTTGTTTTTTGCATTTTGGGATTATCTTTCTCCACATATTTTTTTTTTCCAACTTTATACATAATTTTTTCCCTATTACATTTTCAGATTTTACAGCATCTTGAAATTGGTGGGTTGTTTTAAACAATCATGTTTAATTCGTATCATAACACCTACCAAGATTACTCAATAATCAAAAAATTGTTTAATACTTGGGTAGTGCAATAAATGTTAAATAATAAAACCAATAACTTGTGGCTACATTGTCTTGACAAATTAAATATTACTTACTAAAATTAAAAACTAGCTAAATATTCAACACTGTTAACATAGAATCTGAAAAAACACGAAGGTTTTGGATAAAACCGAAACTACCAAAATATTTCCATACTGGTCAATATTTTAGATGGGTTTTTAACAGTAAATACACTTAGCAACTACAAAATCTCTTTGGGATGAGAAATTAAACATCAAATTTCCTTATAAATACAAGTCACTGAGAGCTTATTTTTTTTAAACTTGGACATTAGTTTTTTTTTCTCAGATTTTTAGTCCAGGATTTTCTGAGTTGATTTAGACATTTTCTTTAAAAATTTTAAAGGTGACACATGCTTTATTTTTTGAGTCATTCCAGTCTTTTAGCTTTCTTCTCAAGATTTTGTTGGCTGTTTATGTAATTTGAGTTTTTAAAATGTATTTATAAGCAAAATAGTATTATTTCTAATTTTATGGTAAATTATTAAATTATTTTGTAAGATCCTACAAGGTTCCAACTGGTTGAGCAGGAAAAAAAAAGAAGGAAATTTTAAGACCAATTAACTCACAAGAGAATACAGTTTCATGTTACCGAAGAGGGACAACATGCACAGTAATTTTTTTAGTATTCAAATTTTATCTAAAAACTGAAACATAAATATAAATGAATTTCAGTATAGTGTTATTTAAAAGCTTAAGCACAAATACTATCAAGAGAAATGTGCAAGCTACAATTCATAAAATTTCATAAAACTTAAATACTATTAAAAAAAGTGTAATAAAAAGAAAAATTTACCTAGAAGTGCATTTGAAAGTTGATCATATATATATTCATTTAGTTTTATACATATATAAAATAATAAAATGAATTATCAGTAAATAAAGCAACATTAACAGGGATTATGGCTTTAACTTTAAACTATATACACATAAAATTCCTACTAATTTTTTAATAATACATTCTTACACATCTCTACCTGATCAAGTAGTGGGTTATTGAGTTTAATCTTTTGGTCATCAGTAGAAGGTTGGCTATTAAGTATTGTCCGTATCGACTGTTCTACTTCTGTGTGCAAGAAATTATTCCAACTATATTTGAAAAAGAGATCCTGAAATGGGGGAAAAAAATCATTGGTTTTTTGGTTTATCATCATTTACTTTATATATATATACTCATATAAACTAGGGCCCTTTTTAGGCATACTTTTCTTACTTCAAAAATATTGGACTATAGTTCAAGATAATTCAGAATTACTTGTATATCCACCATCACACTTTCTACAATTAAAAAGACACACACACACACACACATCATAAATAAATGGTAATTATCTTTACCAAGTTATAGACTAGTTACAGGCTTGGAGGAGCTAAGGTGAAGTTAGACTTTCACTCCAGACATTTACATAGCACATGGTGTTGTAACCACGCATTCATTATCTTTGAAAAATAAGCCTATTATTTGGACATACAATTACCCCCAGCATATGGACCTCATGGTCCTTCTCTTATTAGCTTTCATACAGAGAGCAACAAGGTATAGTTGGTTAATGGCTTTATAACTATAGCTTTATAGCCCCTATACTATATTAAGTTTTCTGTTCTTTTCAAATTTAAGAGGTATTTAAGTAGCCATATAATATTTTCTATTAATCATGCTTTGAACAAAGTTGTCCTTTATTTATTCACTTGCTTAAAAAGGATATTGGACTGAGATCTTAAAAGAAATTTAATTCTACGATAAATATTAACAGCTGTAATCAAATATTTTATTCTTTGCCTTAGAATAGCAGGCACTTATCACCCTTGTATCATACATGTGCTTCTTCAACAGTTAATAATATTCCTTTGTGCAATGAATGCTACGTACAAAAATGAAAGAAATACTTGCATAGCAAAAATTAAATTTTTCTTTTATCAACCCATTCAATCTGTAGAAAGAAACGTTAACGCATGTTTCAATCTCCAGTTTAAAAAAAACACTCAAAATCAAACATTTACCTTACAAAATATGGAACTACACCTACTTAATGTAGGATAGTCCTTGTGGAAGGAATCTGTAATACTTGTACATAACATAAAGAAAGCTATAATGTGTGCAAGAACAAATGTAATAACTATACTTGAAAAACTTGGTACCATTCTATTGTCCAACACTTAGGCTTTCTGACAGAGAGCATGATACAAGGGCATAAGCAGAAATCTATA